GGACTGTGACAAAACCTTTTGCGATCAGTCAGGGCTTGTTAAACACCAGAGAATTCACACAGGGCAGAAACCCTATAAATGCCTGGCGTGTGGGAAGAGTTTTAGCCAAAGCACCAACCTTATTAGACATCAGAGAATCCACACAGGAGAAGCAGCCGACAAATTAATCTCTCTTTGTGACGCAACAGTTGCATTCCAGTTTCAAATGCCGGCCATTTCTAAGGCTTAAAACAGGTGGTCCTCGACTTACGACCACAATTGAGCCCAGAATTTACGTTGCTAAGTGAGTTTTGCCCCATTTTTTTTGCAGGTAGTTCTCGGCTTACAGCTATTCAAAATTACAACACCACTGAAAAAAATTGAAAGTCTGTGGAGATTCTCAGTCATCTGGGTCGTGGTTGTCTCAAAGGGGCTTTTTTCAAGAGGCAACTGGACTTTCTTGTGTTTCCTTTGAAGACGTTTTGCTTCTCATCCAAGAAGCTTCTTCCAATCTGACTGGATGGTGGGGAGATGGAAGGATTTATACTCCTTGCAGACAGCTGGTCATTTAGCTATGCACTTTGGGATGAACGCCGTTCGAATGGTGAGGGAGGAAGAACGGATTTCCAGAAAAACATTACAGACTACAGGAACTGTTTACGCTTCAGTTTGAGATGCAGACAACACAGACTCATCCCCAACATCCTGAGCCGGTCTTCAGCAGTGAAGGGGCACAGAGCAAGAAACATCCTGCAGCCATGAAGGCTCCATACCCATTTGCACCACTCAGGTGATCCTGAGGGCACAGGTAAATTTCCAAGTGGCCTCAATGACTCTTTAAAAGGTTGCAAATGTATAATGAGTCTGCAAGGAGTATAACTCCCCACCATCCATTGTTCTGGATCACGTAGGTCTGTATATTAGAATCTGGCATTTATTGGGTTAAGTGCTGTCTCCTTAAGAGATGGCTTATGAGTAATGTAGTTTAGCTAGTCAGCTATATCATATTAGTAGGTTAGTGGGAGGAGTTTCTAAGGGCATTGCAGGACTTCCTGGACACGAGCCAGTTTTGGAATATCTTTGAGAAAGCATGGGGTCATCGCATGTCTCCAATGGCTCCAATCCAAGTTATAGAAGTGGTATGGAGAAAGTATTAATTTCTCACCTATAGGAATGAACAGACGTGTAATATCCAGAAGCAACCATCATAAATGCAAGTATTTCTCTGAATAAATATATATCTGGTTTGCAATCATTTCTATTGAGTTTATCTGTCTGACCCGATTTTACAAAGCAACGTAACTCTGGATCAGAACAGTAAGAAGCAAAACAAGAAAGTCCAGCTTCCTCATGAAAAAGCACCTTTGGGACAACCATAACCTGGATGACTGAGAATCTCCATATACATTTAAATGAATGGTTGTAAATTGAGGACTACCTGTGCTGGAACACACTCATTACATCTTCCTTTGCTTTCTCTTCTTTAGCACATTTCTCTCAACGGTTCTTCGGAGTAGATTTCCCCAATCTTTCCGGCTTTGTCGACCGGTGGAGAGGGGGGCAGAGAGGAGATGGTTGTGCGTGAGCAATGCGGAGACGGGGGGGGGGAGGGACCTTTTTTTTTACTGAAATTTGGGACAGCCACCCATCAAGCAGTATAAAGATCTAGATCTCTTTATCTGTGTGACACAACCTGAAGCAGATTGGTGCTAATCCATAGGACAGTGATGGCGAACCTTTTAGAGACCGAGTGCCCAAAAACTGGCCCCACCCCTGCTCCACCCCCTGCCCCGCCCCTGCCTGTGGGGCCACTCACCGCCTCCAGGGCCGCCGCAGATCGCCCAGCAGCGCCACGGCCACGCCCTCTGCCCATGCCCCGCAGCATCAACTGTGCGCCATGGGGCGTGAGGGCAGAGTCTTGCCTACGCTGTCTGGCTGCCATGTCCTCGGCTGCACTGCTCCGCATGGGTCACGCTCGGGGGGTGACTCTCCTCCAGGGGGGGGCTGCTGGTGAGGAGGGGGTCACGGGGGGGAGGCAAGGCTGAGGCAACGGCACGTGTGCCCACAGAGAGGGCTCCGAGTGCCGCCTCTGGCACCCGTGCCATAGGTTCGCCACCACTGCCGTAGGAGGACTGTGAGAATGCAAATTGTACCCTACATCTTCCTGGGGAGCAATTTGATTAGGCATCTGCTTGGTCATTCCAGGAAGCTATGCTGACAGGCAGAAGGATGGGAAGCAGGCACATTTGCCATTGCAAGAGAGAGAGAAAAAAAATCCAAAAATGTCTCTCCTCAGGTGATACAGGTGGTCCTCGACTTACGACCGTGATTGAGCCCAAAATGTCTGTTGCTAAGCAAGACAGTCGTTAAATGTTATGCACCCCAATGTGGCCGCGGAGAGAGAGGTGCGGCCTTTGGAGCTCCAGAATCAGGTCCTGACGGTTGAAACGATTAGTCAGTGGAACAGCTTGCCTCCAGAAGTTGTGGGTACTCCACCACTGGAGGCTTTTAAGAAAAAAATTGGGCAACCATTTGAATGGTTTCCTGCTTGAGCAGGAGGTTGGACTACCTCCAAGGTCCCTCTCAGCTCTGTTAATTCTGTTATGGTACTTAGTTTGGATAATGAAACGTCTGCAAGGATACATAAAAGCTCAGAGAGCACCAAGGACCCCTCATTTTAACCCTGAGGTATAATTGTTCTCCTTTATTGGAACTGGAAGTAAATGCTGGTTTGGAGCAAAAACATCATAAAACGTGCTGCAAACAGCTATGAATGCAGGCCAGCTGCTGAGCATTTGAAACGGGGTCACTGGACCATGGGGGGTACAGCTATCCAGAACTGGATCATAAGCATCTCTGGAAAGGGTAAATCATAACTCTGAAAGAGAGTGGAAGAAGCTTCTTGGTCGGGAAGCGAAACGTCTTCAAAGAAAACCAAGACGGTCCACTTGCCTCTTGAAAAAGCACCTTCTGGATAATTTTGAATGGTCGCTAAATGATAGTTTGTTAAAGGACCTGTAGTTTGGGAGTGGGGGTAGGTGAACAGGCAGCCCGTTGCCCTGGCAACCATTTTGTGTGACACCTCCCCCCCCATCCCATATCCCAAAGCATTCGCCCAAAAGACACCAGAGGCCCTGCTTTAAACGACGGAGAATTGAGAAAAGCAGCTACGACTTCTATTGTTTTAATAAAAAGATACTACTCTGAAAATATTTCTCCACAGTAGTCCTCGACTTTATAACCATGACGAAGCTCAACATTTCTCTTCAGAAGCCGTTTGTTAAGTGAGTTTAGCCGCGTTTTACGACCTTTCTTGCCACAGCCATTAAGCGAGTCACTGCAGTTGTCAAGTTAAGTAACAACAGTTTGTTAAGCGAATCTGGCTTCCCCATTGGCTTTGCTTGGCAGAAGGTCGCAAATGGGATCACAGGACTCCGGGACACTGCCACCGTCATAAATATGAGTCAATTTGCCTAGCGTACGAATTTTGATCACGTGACCGTGGAGAGGCCACAGCGGTCGTTAAGTGTGAAAAGCGGTCCCAATTCCATTTCTTTCAGTGCCATTGCTAACTTCGAACAGTCAGTAAAAGAAATGTTGTAAGTCGGGGACTATCTATGTCCACTGATTGCCAGGGCTAATATTTAGACCAGTGTTTCTCAACCTTGACAATTTTAAGGCATGTGGACTTCAACTCCCAGAATTCCACAGCCAGCAATGCTGGCTGTGGAATTCTGGGAGTTGAAGTCCACATGCCTTAAAATTGTCAAGGTTGAGAAACACTGATTTAGACTCTTCAAATATTGCCAGCCAGGTGTGGATGACTTCTCGGCTTGGGAACAAGGTGCCATGGAGGATGGGAAGTGGAAGCACTTCCTTCTTGGCTGAAACCTGAGACGGATAGGTAACCACGATAGCTATCACGAGCCGTGGTGGCGCAGTGGTTAGAATGCAGTACTGCGGGCTACTTCTGCCGACTGCCAGCAGTTCAATTCTTATCCTCATCCTTGTGCCGTGGTGGCACAATGGTTAGAATGCGGTATTGCAGGTTAATTCTGCCAACCGCCAGGAGTTCAATTCTCACTGGCTCAAGGTTGACTCAGCCTTCCGAGGTCAGTAAAATGAGGACCCAGATTGTTGGGGGGGAACAGGGTGACTCTGTAAACCGCTTAGAGAGGGCTGTAAAACACAGTGAAGCGGTATATAAGTCTAAGTCAGCGGTTCTCAACCTATGGGTCGCGACCCCATTTGGGATCGAACGACCATTTCACGGGGGTCGCCAAACAACGCAGTCCGCCATTTTTTCCCCCTTTTCCTTAGCTGTGCTACTCCCTTTTATTCTATTGGCTTTTGAAAGCCAATAGAATAGACTCTCTTGAATAGAGTCTAATTCTATTTGCTTTCAAAAGCCAATAGGAATTGTCCAGGCTGTCTCTGCCCTGCTGAGCCCGCCAAAAGTCCCATTCTGCAAATGGTGCTGCAAGTTGTTTGCAGCGAAGGCGAGCTGTCTGGAAGTTTCTACACCTCCCTGCTGAGCAACTACTAAAAATGTAAGTAAAAGAGGGCCAGGGGTGGGAGGTGGGAGGCCGGCGGGCGCAGGGAGGGTTGCTGGCGTGCGTGGAGCCCGGTGGGTGCCTTACCTCCCTTGGGCTGGGCCACCTGGTGGCCCAGCCGGTGGTCGCCCTGCGCCGTCTCTGCTGCTTGCCAGCTATACCTCGGCCGGTGCAGGGAGCAGCACCACACATGTGCGGCGCTCCCGGGCAGGGAAAGTCCTCGACTTACAACCGGTTGGGTAGTCCTCGACTTACAACCGGTTTAGTCCTTGACTTACGACCGGTTGAGAAGTCCTTGACTTACGTCCGGGTGGGGGTCGCGGCATTAAATAGGTTGAGAACCACTGGTCTAAGTGCTATTGCTATTGCTATCCCCCCCCAAAGCAGCATCTTGCAGCTCCCTAGTGCACAACTCCTTGAAAGAGACAAAGAGTTCAAATCTTTTGAACACATACACACACCCCCAACTGCAGCAGTTCCACATATTGCTTTAATGCCAGTTGGACTGGAAATTTTCTCTGATTGCCAGGAGAAAAACTCCGACATAGGCGAGCAGGTCGGTGGCTAATCAGCTAATTACTCGGCTTCTCTGAAGTCTCGCAAGCCACAGCCTCCAACTGAATCTTGTCTCCGCATTCGAAAACACTGATACTTTTGCCCAACGCGTACATTTTCTGGTGGGCCAAGCACGGCGAGTGCTGCTTCAACTTCTGACCGTATTCGAGGCGTTTATAGGTCTTCTCCTCCACATGAACCATCGGGGGGTGAATCAATTTGGGCTGGTCCAGGAGGCTGCAATCTGCGTTTTGATACCTCCGTTCCCCCAGGTGAACTCTCTGATGGGAAGTCAGGTATGTGCTCCGGCTGAAGCTGTTCCCGCACTCGGCGCATTTATGGGGTTTCTCCCCCGTGTGAATCCTCAGGTGGGAATTCAGAATCGCCTTCTGACTGAAGCTCTTGCCGCACTCCCCGCAGACGTACGGCTTCTCCCCCGTGTGGATCCTCCGATGCTTGATCAGCGTGGACAAGTCGCAGAAACTCTTGCCACAAAAGGAGCAACTGTAGGGCTTCTCTCCTGTGTGGATCCTTTGATGGGAGGTCAGGAGGTCGCTACGGATAAAGCTCTTCCCGCACTCCAGGCACTTGTACGGTTTCTCCCCAGTGTGGATCCTCAGGTGTATCTTCAGACTCGACTTATAACTGAAAAACTTCCCGCAAACGTTGCACTTGTATTTTCTCTTTTCGTTCGGTTTCTCTTCGGGGAGGGAAGCGTTATGGAATCCCACCGCTTGGGAAGCCATGGTTTTCTTACACTTATCCGTGAGGTAGTTTCTCCTTGTCCTCCTCAGTGGACGCACCTCTTCCGACTTTTGGGGCTCGGCTCTGTTGGAGGCAACTTTCAAAAGATCCCTGATGTTTTCATTCTGTCGGACATCACCTGCTGAAATAAAGCGAGGTTTGAAGAGGGCCAAAGGGAGAAGGCCTGGGGTCTCCCTCCCTCTCTCTCTCCCTCCCTCCCTCCCCCCTCTCTCTCTCTCACTCACACAGACACACAAACACACACACACAGTGTTTTTATGGCTGGGGAATTCTGGGAGTTAAAGAGCACACATCTTAAAACTGCCACATGGGAAAACGTTTTGCATCCCAACCATGAAATGCTTGAAAGTTGAATTGTTCAGTGATATGCTGTCAACTTAGAGGTATCTATAGGGAATGGTTTAAAAAGTGAAGATGATCACACACACACACACAGAGAGAGAGAGAGAGAGAGAGAGAGAGAGAGAGAGAGAGAGAGAGAGAGAGAGAGAGAGAGAGAGAGAGAGAGAGAGAGAGAGAGAGCGAGAATGCGAATCCCAGGCATATTTGTGTAGTGGTATAAAGTCCTCAAACACAATCAATGGGTAAAGCACGGAGTCAACCAGGTTTATAAACAAACTCCCCACCCCAAATGCTTACTCTGATGACGCTGGCAGTGGACCAGCGGAAGCTAAAACAGCCGAGTTTTAGGTTTGTAAATAGTTGTTTTTATTGTTTTAACAATACACAGCTGTTTTAAATTCATCCCAGAGTTCAAGGACTTTACACACACACACACACACACACACACACACACACACACACACAGAGAGAGAGAGAGAGAGAGAGAGAGAGAGAGAGAGAGAGATAGATAGATAGATAGGTAGGTAGATAGTGAGGCGGTGGTTAGAATGCAGTATTGCAGGGAAACTCTGCCCACGACCAGGAGTTTGATCCTGACTGGCTCAAGGTTGACTCAGCCTTCCATCCTTCCGAGATCGGTAAAATGAGGACCCAGATTGTTGGGGACAATAGGCTGACACTGTAAACTGCTTGGAGAGGGTTGTAAAGCACGGTAAAGCGGTATATAAGTGTTATTGTTATTGCTACTAATAAAGGAGAATATTTGTAGTTGGCATGAGGGGTCCTTGCTTGTTTTCTTGCATTTTATTAGCCAAACTATTGCTACTGATTAGATAGATAGATAGATAGATAGATAGATAGATAGATAGATAGATAGATAGATAGACAGACCGACCGATAGATGAGAGAGAGAGAGAGAGAGAGAGAAGAAATAGAGACAGAGAAAATAATTTTTTGTTAAAAAAAGATAGCCTGCAAGGTTTTATTAGTCTACTGGGAAAAAAAAATCCATTTCTACAGCTAAAGTGTAAACGTAATCTGTTCGCAATTCTTTGATTTTTAAACTGTGGCTTCTAAAGAACTCACTCTTCCGCACCAGAAGAAGGACGGCCACAAAAAATGTAATCCAATGTGCGTGTATGTTTACTTGCTTAAAATTCCTAGCTACCATAGGCGAGTAGGAAGTTTTTCTTTCTTCTTTAATTTACAGAATTTAAAGGAAGCTCTAATCAGGAACCGACTCTGAGCGGTACACAATGTCCCCTCCCTTATCCCAAGATAAAAGAAAAAAATATATAATTCCTGAATTAACCTGTGTTCTAGGCTTCAGAACACAGAGGTTGGGGAACATCTGCAAAACAAGCAAACCAAAACTTTGAAGTAACCCAGCTTTGTATGTGGGGTGAAAACAGCTTCTCTGCCCTTCCCTGACCTACGAGCCTTGCAACCCACAATATGTGGAGGGTCGCAGGTTGCAAAAGGCTGGTGCACAGGGGGAAAAAAAACATACCGATTTTTCTTTGGCTTATTCCACGAAAATCCAGGCATCTTTCCTTCATACTCACCACATGAATTTCTAGCTTTCTCCTCTCCCTCCAGGAAAGGCCTCGGGGCGCTCTCCCCACTATCAGGTGAGTCCAGCTCTGCCTTGGCTGGGGGAGCAGCTGCTGTCATCCCCTGCAATGGCGGACAGGATCAAAACTCAAAACAGAACGTAGGCACAGGGAAAGCAAGGTAAGGGTGTCCCAAAGTTGCTTTTTTTCCCAGGAGGCAATTGGGCTTTCTTGTTTTTTTTCTTTGAAGATGTTTCCATTTCCCACAATCTAGTCCAGACATGTCAAACACAAGGCCCGGGGGGGGGGCGGATGCGGCCCGCGAAGTGGGTTCATGTGGCCTGCAAAGCCATCCTGGAAATAGTGAAGGAACGGCCCCTGCTGCCTTGGCCCTGGCCCAGGCCGGCTGGGAGCCAATGTACAATTTTGTGGTGGCCATCTAGGCTGAAAGGCATTCAGTCTTAGCTCCACAAGGCCGTCTGCAAACAGCGAGGAACCAGCCCCTGCCGCGTCGGCCCCGCCCCCTGGGTGCATGCTGGGGAGGTGTCACCCTTTGTGAGGAATGAAGAAATGGACCATGCCTTGGCACTTGCCCCGGTCCCACCCCCTTCTGCCAGAGACCCTCAGATCTGTCCCACTCCTGCCCAGGCCCCCTTGACGCAAATGGGGTAGAGCTGTCCACACCCACCCAGTAGGCCACACCCACTCCATCCATGCCCACCCAGTAGGCTGCACCCACTCCATCCACGCCCACCCAGTAGGCCGCACCCACTCTGGCCACACCTACCCGCCCCCCCCAGGGCAACCGCAATGCTGATGCGGCCCTCAGTGAAATTGAGTTTGACACCCCTGATTTAGTCAGAGCTGAAAAAGCTTCCTGGATGAGAAGCCAAACCTCTTCAAAGAAAAAAACAAGAAAGTCCAGTTGCCTCGTAAAAAGCACCTTTCGGACAACCATGACCTGGATGACTGAGAATCTCCATGGATGTTGGGGACCACCACTAAAGAGCATCTAGACCAGGGGTTCTCAACCTGTGGGTCGGGACCCCATTTGGGGTCGAACGACTATTTCACAGGGCTCGCCTAACAATGCAGTCCGCCATTTTTTCCCCCTTTTCCTTAGCTGTGCTACTCCCTTTTATTCTATTGGCTTTTGAAAGCCAATAGAATAGACTCTCTTGAATAGAGTCTAATTCTATTGGCTTTCAAAAGCCAATAGGAATTGTCCAGGCTGTCTCTGCCTTTCTGAGCCCGCCAATAGTCCCATTCTGCAAACGGTGCTGCACCAGTTGAGTAGTCCTTGACTTACGACCGATTGAGCAGTCCTTGACTTACGACCGGTTGGGGATTGCGGCATTAAAAAGGTTGAGAACCACTGATCTATGCAAAAAAAGGGGGGGACTTACCTGTTGTTCCCATCTCAAAGACTCTCTCTGCATCCAGAGGAAATCCTCGGCCAGGGCCACCGCCTGGGCGCAGCACGCAGGGCCTCGCTCCCGCACCCAGCTCTGGACCTCCGGGGGCAGGACGGTCAGGAACTGCTCGAGGATCAGCAGCTCCAGGATCTGCTCCTTGGAGTGTCTCTCCACCTTCAGCCATTGACGGCACAGCGTCTGGAGCCGGTTGTAAACCCCGCGGGGCCCCTCGGCTTCCCGGTAGCGGAAACGCCGGAAGTGCTGGCGCCGTTTCTCTCGGCTCAGGGCGTCCCGGTGCAAGATGGCTGCTTTCACCTTCCCGTAATCCTGCCGATCTCGGGCCTCCAGGTTACTGAAAGCCTGCTCAGCTTCTCCGCGGAGGGCGGGCAAAAGCCGGACTGCCCACTCTTTCCGGGGCCACCGACAGGCCTCTGCCACTTGTTCGAAGGCCGCCAAGAAGCCCTTAGGGTCGTCCCAGGGGGTGGGCTCCTCTGGGCCCTGGCTGCCCCCCCAACTAGAGTGCAGAGAGCCTGCGGTTATGAACAGCTCTTGCCACGGTTGGGGTAACTCCGCGTCCGTCTGTAGCATTTCCCCTCCCAGTTTCTTGGGACAAAATTCCCACAGGCGTTTCCCCTGATTCTCACTCAAGGCGTTCAGGCTGGCCATCCCCTTCTCCCTTCTGCCTCTTCTCCTAAATGTGGAAAGGGAAGCTTGTAAAAAAAACGTCCGGCCAATCTGTGGATTTGTCCGAGGAAACGTTGCCTTCCCGAAGAGGCTCGCTCGCTCCCTCGGTCAGACAACTAATTGTTTTTCCAAAAGGCTGAAGTTTTTTCCTACGGAACAGAGAAGATGGGAGAAATGGGAAAAAGACAACCCCACCGCTAGCTTTCTAATCATTTCATCATCGCCATCATCAGAGTTGGAAGGGACCTTATAGGTCTTCTAATCCAGGGCTTTTCAACCAGTGGTACGGGGACCACCTGTGGTACATGGGCACCTGGCAGGTGGTATGCGACCATCCTAGAAAAGTGGTAGTGGGAGAGGGGAATGAGCTGAACCGGTGGCAGCACCGCACAAGCCTGAGCGAGAGATGGCTGGAGCTGCAGGGCTGTCGGGGCTCAGCGGAAGCACCAGGATCAGTGCTGCTTTCCAGCTGATCGGCGCTTCTTCAGGGCTGTCAGGGCTCAGTGGAAGTGCCAGGATCAGCGCCAGGCTCCAACTGGAGTTTGGCGCTGATCCTGGTGCTTCTGCTGAGCCCTGAAGAAGCACCAATCAGCTGGAAAGCAGCACTGATCCCGATGCTTCTGCTGAGTCCACAAGAAGCGCCGATCAGCTGGAATGTTGCAGCCTCTCCAGGGTCTTGTGATTTACATTCAGATGCTTGGCAACTGATTCATATTTATGACAGTCACAGTGTCCCAGGGTCATGTGAAGTGACCAAAACCTGCTGCAACCCCCCAGCAGATGGGGGGAATAAAAACCAAACACCCCCCCACCCCACCCCCACTGTCAATCCTCAACAGAAATGCTCACAACAATGAAAACCTCGGACAGGAGGATGAGCACCTCCGGGCGGGCAGGCAGGTGTCTTGCTCGGCTGTGGCTTGGGGGGCGCTTTTTTCAGTGCCGTTGTAACTTCGAACAGTCACTAAGCGAACTGTTGTAAGTCGAGGACTACCTGTACTTTATCACTTTTTTCCTTTTTAATTTTTTTTGGGGTGATCAAGTTTTTGACACCTTGCTAGGCAAACTGGTGGTACTCGGATGTTGCGATATCCTAAAAGTGGTACAATGGGTGAGAAAGTTGAAAAGCCCTGCTCTAAGCCAACTGCCTGCTCAAGCAGGAGACCCTATATTCTATATTTCTGGGTGCCTAAGCAGATTGGTTCTCTGTCCAAAAGCAAAGACCCCAGCCAAGCTGTCAAGAGTCAGGGGAATGTATCTTTAGAGATGAGAATATGGGGACAGTGAGCAATCACCCTGGCTGGGGATTTCTGGGGGTCCACATATCTTAAAAATGTCCAAGCTTGAGAAACACTGTTAGGGAATAAGAAGCACTGAGGAAACCCAGCCTCTGGGCCAGTGTTTCTCAACCTTGACAATTTTAAGGCATGTGGACTTCAACTCCCAGAATTCCACAGCCAGCATTGCTGGCTGTGGAATTCTGGGAGTTGAAGTCCACATGCCTTAAAATTGTCAAGGTTAAGAAACACTGCTCTGGGCCCTTCAACTGTGGAAGCTGCCTGGAGAATTCAGGACTAATCTGTTTCTGTTTTTCTCATCTCTTTCTCTCTTCCCAAACTTGGAGGGGGTGGGAAATGGAAGGAAGAAGTGTTACAAATGCCCTCTTTACTGTTCAAAAAGCAGTACATAAAACTAGCTGGATATTAAAAAAAAAAATTGTAGGAGGGTGTTAAACAAAAAGTGTCTCCTTATAAATTACAATCAAACAGAAAACACATTAAAACCCCAAAGGTGTTTTTTTTTTCCAAAAGGCAAGTTCTAATTGACTGAAGAAGCTTCTTGGATGAAAAGAAAGAAGTTTTCAAAGGGAAAAACAAAACAAATAAGAAAATCCAGTTGCCTTTTTGAAAAAGCACTTTTGGGACAACCATGACCTGGATCAGGGGGTAGGCAATCTTGGCGCTTTTATGACTCGGGGACTTCAACTCCCAGAATTCCTGAGCCAGCCGTGCTGAGGGGAAAGGGAGAGGTTTCCAAGCTGAGCCATGCTGGCTCAGGAATTCTGGGAGTTGAAGTCCACGAGTCATAAAAGAGCCAAGGCTGCCTATCTCTGGCCTAGGCCTAGGCCGCTTTATGACTCGTGGACTTCAGCTCCCAGAATTCCTGAGCCAGCATGGTTCAGCTTGGAAACCTCTCCCTTTCCCCTCAACATGGCTGGCTCAGGAATTCTGGGAGTTGAAGTCCACGAGTCCTAAAAGAGCCAAGGTTGCCTACCCCTGACCTGGATGGTTGAGAATGTCCACAGACATTACAAACAACATATATTACAAAGAACAGAATGCAGGAATAGAATAGTGGTGTTCCATTACTGGAGGTTTTTAAGAAGAGACTGGACAACCAGTTGTTTAAAACGGTAATGGGTCCCTTGCTTGAGCAGGGGGTTGGACTAGATGACCTTCAAGGTATCTTCCCACTAGGTTATTCTATTATATTGCTGAATGCTTACAGCTTCTACAAGAACCTTCTGACCTTTAATCATGCTGGTTAATTCATCCATCCCCTATCTCTGGGGGAAAAAACCCTGCAATTTCTGTGGGGCTCAAGCAGGGGTGGGGTTGGATGCCCCATCTATTTTGGGCTGATGGGGTCCCTTCACCCCTGGTAAATGCCTGGATGAGGCCCTTCAGATTATTATTATTATTAATAATAATAATAAAAAAAAATTGGAAGGGACCTTGGAAGTAATCTAGTCCAACCCCCTGCTCAGGCAGGAAACCCTATACCATTTCAGACAAATGGCCATACAGTCCCTTCTTAAAAACTTCCACAGTTGGAGCATTCCCAGCTTCTGGAGGCAGATTGTTCCACTGCTTAATTGTTCTCACTGTCAGGAAGTTTCTCCTTAGTTCTAGGTTGCTTCTCTCCTTGATTAGTTTCCATCTGTTGCTTCTTGTCCTGCCCTCAGGTGCTTTGGAGAATAGCTTGACTCCCTCTTCTTTGGGGCAGCCCCTGAGATTTGCTCTTTCTTTCCCAGAGCGGAGACAAAGGGACCAGTGAAATTCACCGAGCTGGCTTCCTGCTTAGGGCGACACTAGGACAGGGGTAGGCAACCTCGGCTCTTTTAGGACTCATGGACTTCAACTCCCAGAATTCCTGAGTCAGCATAAGGAATTCTGGGAGTTGAAGTCCATGAGTCATAAAAGAGCCGAGGTTGCCTACCCCTGGACTGGGACATGCAAATTCCAGGTTTCTAGGCGGCTGCTTTACCCCACACTCCATTTCTTCTTACACGTAGTCCTCGATTTAGGACTACAATCGAGTCCCAACTGTTGTTAAGCTAATAATCCGGTTGTTCAGTGAATCCGGCTTCCCTACTGACTTTGCTTGTCAGAGAAGGTCACAAAAGGGGATCGCAGGGCCCCGAGACACAGCAATGGTCATAACTAAGAGCCACTTCCCAAGCCTCTGACTTTTAACCCTGGGGATGCTGCAAGTTTGAAAAATGGTCGTTAAGTCCCTTTTTTCCAGGGCTGTTGCAACTTTGAACGGTCACTAAATGAACTGTTGTAAATCGAGGACTACCTGTATCCACGGGGCTGCAACTCTGCGGCAAACCTCAACTGCTTTGTCAATAAAAGGACCCGAGGACCCAATCCAGATGCCAATTCCTTAATACTCTCCCCCCTCAAAAAACATCCCAGACCGATCTTGGGCACAAACTCCCTAACAGGGTTGCGCTGCTCACCAGCATGTCACCCTTCTGACGTGCTGATGGGTGTCGAGCCAACCCGGGTTGAGTTTTTGCTGTCGTGGGAACTCACTCAACTCGCAGGGCGCCAGCTTGAAAAAAGGGGCCAGGCGACGGGGACGCTAACGAGCCTCCAAACGCCTTGCTGCTGACCCCAGCCGCTCTGCCGGACTACACCGCCCATCATCCCCGCTCCCATTGGCTGGGGATGATAGGAGCTGGAGTCCTGGCCTCTGCCCTTTCCCGCCCTCCTCCCGCTTAAAGACTCGCCTTGGCCTCCGCCCGGCTGAGAAAGAAACGGCTCGCCCGGAGCCCTCCGAAGGGGGAAGCGGCGCTTTCCGGGTCCGAAACTCCAGCCGCTCCCGGGGGAGGAGAGGAAAGTGGGGCCAGAGCGCCCACTCTCCCAGAGAGCAGGAAATAGAATCGGAAAAGGCGGGGAGAAGCCTCTAGGAAGCGCCCCTCTAGGAAGCTCCTCTCGTTCTCCCTCCGCCCTCACCCCCCCCCTGTTGTTTCGGAGGTGAGTTGAGTTGCGGGGGATTTTTTTTTTTTTTCTTTCCGTTTTCCCCCTGGCGGCATTTTGGGCGGCGGTGCAACTTCTGGGCGTCCGGCGAGGCTGCTCCTCGGCCCCGCTCCGGGCAGGTGGGGCTGCTCCTGCTCTCCCTCGGCCGGCCAGGAGGAAGGTAGCCCCGAGTCCCCCCCGGGTCCCCGGAGGGTGGCTGAGCCTGCCAGGATCCCGGGTGGATGCAGGGCTGGACGGGGAAAAGGGGGGGCTCGCCCCACGGAGGGAAAGGGGGGGCTTTTCTTGTTAAGGATTTGGGGGGGGGGAGATTCTGGGATAATGGAAAGAAATGATGATAGAAAAATGAGGGTTAGACAGCATCACTACCAGATGGATCCATAGCTGGCTGACCGGCTGTACTTTGCCTGTTGTCTTCAATGGAACTGCATCTACATGGAGGGAAATGTTTACCGGGGTGCCCCAGGGCTCTGTTCTGGGCCCAGTGCTCTTCAACATCTTCATCAACGATCTGGATGAGGGGATAGATGGGGAACTCATCAAATTTGCAGATGACACCAAGCTGGCAGGAATAGCCAACACTCCAGAAGACAGGCTTAAGATACACAAGGATATGGACAGACTTGAACCCTGGGCACCATCTAACAAAATTGAGGCAAGAAAAACCAAATGCACAGGTATGGTATATCTTGCTCAATGGTAATAACTGTGAGAGGGATCTCGGAGTCCTAGTGGACAATCATTTAAATATGAGCCAGCTATGTGCTGCAGCTGCCAAAAAAGCCAACACAGTGCTAGGCTGCATTAACAGGGATAGAATCAAGATCACATGAAGTGTTAATACTACGTTAAAATGTCTTCATAAGGCCACACTTGTAATATTGCATCCAGTTTTGGTCACCACAATGTAAAAAAGATGTTGAACCACTAGAAAGAGTACAGAGAAGAGCAACAAAGATGATTAGGGGACTGGAGGCTAAAACATATAAGGAACGGTTGCTGGAATTGGGTATGTCTAGTTTAGTGAAGAGAAGGATGAGGGGGGAAATGATAGCAGTGTTCCAATATCTCGGGCTG